AAAAGAAGAATCATATTCACTGCAGCGAAATAATGATAGCAGTTGAGAAACTAACAGATGTCTATGGCTCAGAATTTTGAAATTTGTTGCTCTGTCACAGTGACATTTACAGTATGGCAACAATAATTCTATGATTTGATCAACTTGAATTGCTTTTATTTTTAGCATTTGAATTGTATAGAATCTTACCAAAACAGTTTTGAGACATACCTGCTGAGTACTTTTGTAACAAATTCCAAATTACATATCTTTAAACAAAAGCACCAAAGAACCCAGTACATGCGATTCCAAACCACATAGTCAAAGTTTTCTAGAAAGAAAATATAGGAAGCCAGTGATTCATCATGGAGATGATGAGTCTGCCATAACAGCAGTACCATGGCAGTGTTGCCAGATCTTCTCTGTATCTGAAGATATCTGAATTTTGGGCTCTCTCTCTTTTTTTTCTCCTAAGACACCAACTTTTCCACTGACAATTTCAGATACACATTTCTGAATAGCACTGCTTGTCTCTGCAGCCATTTACCAGAGAAAGGTTTAAAAAACACTTACATTAAATAGACATTGATATTCTTGTGTTTTAAACAATGAACTAATCTGCTATATATCAATTTCTCTAGCCAAAACCCTTTCATCTACAATCTTTTTTTTCAATATTTATGAATTCCCACTTTTAGTTTGGTCACTACCATAGTAAGTAATTTTAAAACAAAGCCAAGCATTCACTAGACCTGTTCAGCAATTGTAATTGATAAATTATTTTTATAAGATATCTAAAGAAGTCATCTTTTTTACACATACAAATCATGCTAGCCTAGGCTGTTCCATCTGTACATTTGTCTTCTAGACTAGCCATCCTTGAATCACTTATTTTTATTATTCCATTTTTCCGTCACTTCAGGCTTTCCAAATCATCAGCTCAGCTTCTCTTGCAGAGATTAAGGCCTGTGGGGTTTGGGGTTGTTCACTTCATGCAAAAGTGAGCAAAATGAGCATTCTGAACAACAAAGGTAGTCAGAACATGACAAAGGATGTAAATCATCATTAGGCACTGAACTTACATTTGTTATATCCATGCAGATACGTTTCCAAAAGCACTGAGTACCCCCCTCTTTCACCAATTTTACTGACATTTGTGAAAAAATTCTTTCTAAAACTAGACTATTTTTGAAGAAATTGTGGATATGAAGAGATGCTAGTTTGATTCATTAGAGAGTTGATGCTGGTTTTGTATAGCATTTTTGAAACAGCCACCATTTGGCCTGCATATTTAATTTATATTGTCTTCTTATTTGCATTCAAATAAATGCATTTAGATTACTAAATTCAAACTCCCTGATTTAAGAGCCATTTCAGCATGGTCTGAACTCCCAGACCCCTTCATTCACAGGTATTCTTGAGCAGAAGTGGTGGCAAATGCAAAAGCAGCAGCAACCCAAATTGCCTGGCTCAACAGTGGCACAAGGACACGGGTTTTCATATCTCACTCTTCTCCAATGTTGCTTTCCCCTGGCTGTACCACTTGCTGCCCCAGGCAGTGTCCAACACCCCAGCTACAGCCAGGACATCCCATTTTCCATCTAGCCACTAAATCTGACCTGGCAATAACCTGGTGTACCCACGTGCCTTTCCCCATCCACCTGCTTTCTGCACAATGGGAAAGTGTTTGAACCCCAGTTCTGCGTTTTGCACAAGGACTTTCATGTCCATCATGCTGGGCTTAATTTGTGGGTTTTCCATACAGGCTTCATAAAAGTTTTCTCTAGGTACCTGCATGTTTATTACCAATTTGTTATAGAAACATAAAAGAGACCTTCCAGTACCCTATAGTTTTCCCACTCTGATAAAAAACCCCACGCTGTGTACCATGTTCTTATTGATTGTTGTTATTAATAATTATTCCTGCAAAGCTTTATTAAAAAGAGGATAAAACATTCTCTGGCGCTTCCTCCTCTTCTTCCTTAAGCTCACACATCCTTTTTTTCTCTAAGTTATGCTGGCAGGCTCATGAAAGGTCAGCTTTGCACTGCCATCAAAGCATCCTGATGCAGAAGGGAACCTGAGGTCACTCCCGCCTCCAAGAAGCGCCGGCGGCTTCCTGACCACTCACAGCAGGAATGGCATCACCCACAGTGACATATTATTGTTATTATCATCCTCTTACCACCAGCATTTGCAGATTAAGCTGTGAGCCTGGCCAGCGCTCTCAGTGTGTAAAACCTGACTGCTTTATTGCTCGTGCTCTAGCCCAGCTGATCCTGCTGCCCACCACCTCCCTGCCACCTCCAGCTCTGTGGGTTCTCACGGTGCCAGGGCAAGGATCCCCCTCTCTGGGACAGGGTAATCACATCTGACATCTGACAACAGGAGAAGGAGGAGTGGGCAGGGGAGGAAGCAAAGGGAAAGCTCTGTCTTCTCTCCCCAGCTGGCAATCTCAGGCATTCAAAACAAAGCAGGACAAAGAGCCTGAAAAGTGTGGGCAGCATCTGATGAAGAGGTTGTTAATTCAGAAGAAGGTAATACAATTGGTAATGGTCTGTTTATGGCACTAGAGGTTCTTTCTGAGAAACAGTATAAAGGGAGAGAAAAAATGTGTCAGCGTGAATATCAAGGGCCAGTCAGAGGAAAAGCTAGGGAAATACAGCAGCGGCTGATAAATAAATAACCACCTTTAAAAATACAACACATTGAACAAGAGGGAAGTTTCCCCTATTTCAGCCCCTTCTAGCAAGCAGTGTCACTTAAAGCTCCCTGCATGTCCTAATATATATCTCTTCTGTCTGCACATTTGTTATTTAACTTCCTTAATTTCAAAAGGGAAAAAAAACAGAAGGCATTATTTTCAAGCCTGATTTATGCCTTTGAAATATGCAGGAACTCTATCACAGAATTTTTCCACGCTCATTAGTGCCAGCACACATTTTCTCTTCCAGAGAGGGAATACTCAGAGCTCCTCCTGACCCAGGCTGCTTTCCACAGGCTGCCGTGAAACAACAGGAGGCGAAGGGCCCCCAGGCGCTGCCATCCCCTTGCAAGGACTATCAGTTTGCATTAGTCACAACAAACCTCCTCCCATCAGCCAGCTTTCTCAGGGTCCTTTGCTTGGGAACAGTTGCTGGGCTGAGGCTGCTCTGCTGTTATCTTTTTGGATTGCCAACAAAGGAAATCACAGGTGACTGACAGCGAGTACCACATTCTGTGGGGTTTGGGGGGGTTTTTTTTAAGAGATTGTTTGTCCTCTGGAACAGCAGCCATCAAGCTGTAACACACAAATCCCAGACACATGGAGGGCAATTTCTAAATCTGAAAGGCAGGCATAAAAGCTTCATTATGAGAAGCAGAGTTGTTTTCTAATTTCCTGACCCTGAAAGTTATTTCTTAGAAATCTGCAGAGAGTACAGCTTAAAACTTCATGTCTGATACTTTAAAACTGAGATTTTAAAAAACTGTGGGTGTTGGGTTGATTTAGGCTTTTTTTTTTGACATAAAAAAGAAAAAAACCAAAAAGAGAAGAGGAAAGAATAGTAAGGAAAAGATCCATAAATATTTTCTGAGAGATGCCTCTTCCAAAACCAAATTTTGCTGCTTATATGTTCAAAAGCACACATTTGAATCATTTTGAGATCTTCCCAGAGCGCAGAGCTTCTAGAGCTGGTTTCTGAGCACATCATCTTTGCCCACAGACTCAGGCCTGTGCTTCCTATTTAGTTTATTTCAAAGCCTGTTATTTCCAAGAGTAAAATTCTTTTGCTTGGGGTGGATGCAGTCCCACTGAGATGGGTGGTGATATGTCAGCATGTTAGTTAACATCCAGTCCTGAAAATTCTAAATTAGACTAGCTACTAACATTTGTTATTGATTGTGATTAAATTTAGGATAAGGAAAACTGTGACGTGTTACAAATCAGGACTTATTATATCACTTATTCTCGCCAGTAAAATTAAAACATAGTCCTAACAATGTTTTAAGAAAAAGTACAGTGACAAGAAAGACAAAATGTGAGGTCTGTTTGAGGTGTGAGGTTTTTGGTTTTTTACTGAAGAATGAGCTCTGGGAAGATAATTTCGCTTTCTCAATAACAGTGGTGCTGTTTCAATCTAGTCTGTGAGATGATCACCTTATTAACTCAAAAGTGTTTATATTTGTGTATATGTATCAAAGAAAATACCTTAAAATCCATATAGAATGTATTATCATATTAGTTCAAAGCACTTACATTTTGACAGGTTTGCATCTTGCCATGGATAGAAGAAGCCAGGAAAACACAAACAGCAGGAAAAAACACAACAGAGACCTCACAAACAGCACGGGGCAAGGAGGAGGGGTAAGAGATGGGAAAGAAGGGGTTAAACATGCCAAGTTCATAGTTGAGTAGAATCACAGAATGGTGTGAATTGGAATGGACTTTAAAGTTCATCCAGTTCCAGCCCCCTGCCATGGGCAGGGACACCTTCCACTCGACCAGGTTGCTCAGAGCCCCATCCAATGTGGCCTTGAACACTCCCAGAGATGGAGCATCCATAACTTCTCTGGGCAGCCCGCTCAAGTGCTTCACCAACCTCACAACACAGAATCTCCTGCCACAATCTGTGCTGTTCTCCTTTGTCCTGTCCCTACACTGCCCGATAAAGACTACCTCCACATATTTCCTGGAGGTCCTCTGTAAGTAATGGAAGGCTGCCACAGGACTACCCTGGGATACATATTTATAAAGCACATATTTTTAGATATACATAATATATAAAGTATTTATTTACTTTATAACATACATTAGAAAATAACATTTCATAAAATAAGTACCTTCACATAGCTAGCAAAGTCAGGAAAAGGAGGAGGAAGCACATTACAAACCAGTCTAATCTCCATTTCACAATATTTGCAGCTTCAAGCAAGTGAATCCAACCCACAGATAGTACAAGAGGGCAAAATCTGATCAACAGAGCCTTGGCACCATCAAATCACCACCAACAGCTGTGATTAACATTTGTTCCTGTGCCTACCTGAGTGGTTATTTCGATTTGCAGCAGCAATGATCAAGCTGTTTTGATTTTCAAGGTGCTTCTGTGTGCCCAGGGGTTTGGTTTTGGTTTCCAGTCTCACAGATTTAACCTTCCCACACCAGTGTCACTTCTGGCAGTTGTCTTTGGCTGACTTCTTGGAGGGAGACCAGCCATGGACCACAGGCTGAGGCCTGGGTAAGTCTCCAGACACAGAGAAGGATAGGATGGGCATCTGTTAAGGAGTAGCAAAACCACATTAATTCCCACATAATGTGGCTATATTGCTCATTACCAGCATGCAAATAGGCATGTTTCCTCCATTGATTTTAGTGGAAGAAGGCCTCAATTCCTACAGAACTAGCATTTTTAGCTAACTGTGATTTTACCTAGTAATGATATCTGTTCCCAAAACTCCTTGTCCAAACAAAGGGACTGTCAGGACAAGAATGTGTCTGTTGGCCATCTCTCTCCACACAATGAACCATTACTGTCTATATGACTCATGGTGCAGAAGGATCACAAGAGCTAGGATTAACATGATCTATTTTTGCCCTATTTCCTACTTCTGTCATGTTATGTTATGATTGCTGTATTACCTTTATTTACACTTTAAGGATGATAAATTAAATTAATCAGGGCATTACAGTGACAGCTCCTGAGGAAATACAGGCTGCTTTTATGTGAGTGGATGGTTTAACTGCTGGCTTAAATGTCATGCAAATCCTCCATATTTTATTCACTGAATAGGGAGTGTAAGAATATGGTGCAAGGGAAATCACTGATATGGCGAGACCACAACATGTGAAGTCGTCTGCCGCTTCCTTGTCCTCCCCCACATGAAGGCACTCATTTTCTCACTGCTCAGGCTGGGTGGAAACTCCCCTCCCAACAGGTGTAGAGCCCACCACAGCCCACTCCTGCCCCAGAGATGCAGCTCCTGGCCAATAACAGAAACAATACACTTGCCCTCACAGCCCTATCAAGAAATACAGTCCTATTTACTTTGTATAAAAATAACTTTTTTTTAATATCTGTAAGTGAACAAAGCAGCTGCCTGCAGAGCCAGAAGCCCTTGAGTCGCTCATCCAGCACCTGCAGCAGGAGCTTTGTGCTGCCTGTGCTCTGGGGGCACAACTATTCCAGCCTTGCTTTTGAAATCCCTCACCAAAACCTCCACGTGCTCTGGGAGCTGAAGTGTCCTAATACTGACAGTGGGAAAAACTGTGAGCTTGCACTTTGGAAGCTCGTCTTACTGACACTTTATCCCCTCTGTAAAGCCAAAGGCAATGAATTTTCTGTGCTCCTCATGAGCGCTCTCTTCCACCATCTCCTCCAGCTGCAGAGTTGTTACTAGCCTTTCTTTTCTGTTCCATTACCTTCTTTCTGTTCCAAGAAAACTGGACAAACTGGCCAAAACTGAGGGGTTTTTCCCATGCCTTGACTAAGTCTATGATTATGGAAGTCTAAGAAGTCACTGAATCATATTGCTCAGTTCTTCAGCATGAAACTTTCTCTACCTGTAGCTCAGTAACAATGATGGAAACGATCTGCTGTCAGTCTTACAAGTTAATACAAAAGCAATTGCCTGTTTCCTTGCAAAGCCACTTCTAAAACTAAGATCCAGGCCTTTCACATGTTTATCAGGTTCATTTTTAACTCTGTCAGCCACATGAAAGGTTTGGACCTTAGAGAAATGTTTTGCATTAAGATACCGGGTACCTAAATGTGGGAACTCAGCACACCCCTCCAGATGTCCAGAGTTGCAGGGAACCCTCTTGGGGGGGCTTGGAAGACCTGGAATGTTGCCAGAAGCACCTGGTGAATTGATTTTGATCCATCTAGGGATGTGCCACCTGTATATGAGGACATGAGAGGCCCTAGGGTTTGAATGGTGCAGGAATTATATATTTACAGGGTGAAACATACATTTTTGGGTTTTGTGTACAGGGGGGTTATGGACAAGATGGAGGAATCAGGGCGTGTCTCGTCCTTTTTTCTTCTTCACGTCATCCATTTTCTGTGATGATGTTGGCACCTGGGTACTGGTTTAAAGTAGAAGTCCTCTTTCTAATATAGGTGATAGGTATTGGGACATAAAAGTAAATATGATATACATAGTTTGTAGTATATAAAGACCATGACACCTCAGGGGCAGTCAGAGGGCCTTTGGCTGCCTTGCTGTTCACACCTCGGCTGGACAGAAGGAAAATCTTTGCAGATAAGAAATAATAAACAACCTCAAGATTGAAAACTGAAGAGTCCAGTATCATCCTTCAAATCTCAGGCTGCCTCTGAATCATCCCACGCATCTTGGGGCAGAGACAGACAACAGCCCCCAAGACCTAAACAGCTTATTTTCCGAGTGTGAAAATTTTCACTCAGCTAAGCAGGACAAACTGCAACAAAGAGGACTTTGGTGTCTGAGTTTTTGTGCACTTTCATCAACTTTCTTTTAAGTGCAATAGCTGGTTCTGAGACCCCTTGTGACAGACCCACACACCCAGCACCCATCTCCCCCTCAGCAAAGCCAGTTTCAGGACACATCGGAGTCCATGGAACATCCAGGGTACCAGGGATCCTTTACTCCATCTTCTCCACAGATCCTCAAAAAGGGACTCTGTCAGCCTGCCAGCAGTCAGTCCTGCACTGCTGTTTTTTTTATTCACAAAGCACCACTCACTGTGGTGTGGCTTCTCCTAATCACTGGTAATAACAAATCATGATAAACTTGCTTTCAAAAACATATACGTGCAAACTACTGAGAGATTATGAAGGCGGTTTTACACTGTTTCAGTCTTCAACTGCCAGAGTGAATTTAACCTTAAGAAGAAGGAGGCCCACAAGTAATCAAGGTCTGCTGGACAACGACAAGTGATGTATAAATTCCGACATAAGTTTTGTGTCACTCGCTGTGGTCCAGCTGAGTAAGTACATGCGCAAGATGGGAGGGAATGGACAGTCTGAGCTGTCACACCTGGGGTAACAGATGACCCTCTGCTCAGCGAGAGAGACATATCAGTAAGACCATCATATATTTTCGCAATGTAAATTACCCTTAAACACAACTAAAGGATCACAGAGCGTCATATCAAGAAGCAAAATGCTACTTAAAATATACTGCACACTCTAGCAAAGCAAATTTACTCAGGGCTAAAACTGGTATTTCCTACCCCATGTGGTCACAACACTACAAAACCATGGCTTCCTCCACATTGTTATCCTTCCAACAATATGGGTCCGAGGCTGCTGGTTCGGCTTCCGACTTGGGTTGGGTTTCCGAGAAGCACAAAGGCCAGAGCTCCAGGCACACTGCAGCAGAAAAAGCCATACCAAGGGGAACACAGAACTGCCAAAATGAGGCTTTCTCAACAGCTTTCTCCTTTCGACAAGCAGGACCTCAAGGCTGCCCTAAATGACTTGGGTCAGGGATAGGATTCGCCTAGGATTAGGGTTCCAAGAACCAAGAAGCCCTGAGCTCCAGGCACACTGCAGCTGCCAAAGGCATCCCAAGCGGAGCACAGAACAACCACAACAGGGCTGTCTCCACAGATTTTTCCTTGGGACCATCCCTAACCCTGGGCTTATTTACCTATCTAGGTCTAGGGTTAGGGTCATGCCTAGGGTTAAGGTTTCTAAAACCAGGAAGCTCTGAGCTCCAGTCACACTGCAGCTGCCAAAGGCATGCCAAGGGGAGCGTAAAAGTGCCACAACATGTCTCCCTACCCTGACATTTCTGTGGGACCATTCCTAACCCTAGGCTGATTTACCTGTTTAAAGTTAGGTTAAGGCTTAAGCCTTGGGTTAGGGTTTTTTAAATGAGGAAACCCTGAGCTCCAGGCACACTGCAGCTGCGAAAGGCATCCCAACAGGAGCGCAAAAGTGCCACAACAGGGCTGCCTCCACAGCTTTTTCTTTGGGACCATCCCTAACCCTAGGCTGATTTACCTGCGTAGTGTTTGGGTCACTCCTAGAGTTAGGGTTTTTCAAAGCAGGAAGCCCCAATCTGATTTTGCTGCCTTCTTTTCTTTCTCTCACCACACAAGTCTGCACTGCCCTAATTTCCTTCCTCCAAGACCAGATATTAAGTGATGCATAATCAGTCTTCTTATTCCTTGGGCTTGGCAGCACCTGCGGTATCAGGACATACACCCTCTCAAAATACCATGCTCTTTGGCATCTGATGAAATGACAGAAATGAATGAGTGAGTTTGTTTTTCAGGAAGCTCTTCAAGAGCTCTCCTTTCTTTGTTTTGCATCAAAATCTCTTTTGCTTCCTATCACAGATAAACTGCATCTCCTTTGGGTCACTTTTTACTATCGCTCTGGTTTCCCACTTCTAGCTTATACCACTGGTATTCCTCAAACAAATAGCATGCCAAGGCTTTCCTAATTAACTTGCAACTGTATTTGAGCCCTTATTCTTCTACACAATGGAGATATTTTTCAAGTAAAAATCTAGCTCCAAGTAGCTTGATTCTATGATGCAAGAGTTTGATAAATATAAATCTTAACTATACTAATTGTTTTCCCCAGGAACACGACAATAATTTATGAGACTATGTATAATCTCTTTTAAGTTATTTTCTTAAGTTGGATGTTTCCCTGAATGTTGCAATCACTATGGTTTTTATCCTTATAGAAATAACATTTTCACTTTTTAATTTTTTCCTGTGCATAATATTTTATTTATGTGTTTCATTTTATATTTATAAAAATATATTTATGTCATCGTTCATGTGCTCATTTTATACTCATCCTAATCTTTTTCATATATGCTTAAGTTCTTTGTTAACTTGAGATCAAAAAGGAAGAACTTTCTATGCCTTGTCTGGCTTATGAAGACTGAGAAAAATCTCTTCCTGAATTATTGTATTTTTCCACATTTTGCAGGAATTTTGCAATGTTTCAAAGATTTTATTACCTGATTATAATTTTTGTGTGTTTTAAAAGATTCTCAAATATTTTTGGAATTTTAGGAATTATAAGACCTATTCTGAAATAGTGAAGAACAGTGATAATTGAACTGCCACTTTAAATTGTTTCCAGTGCACAGAATCAAGTTTAACACCTGTAAATTTAAAAAACTCTTTCTGAAGTCAAAGATGTAGTGGTATAGTCTTTTCTTGCTCTGAAAATACTTCAGTTTCTTTACATAGCTAGAATTCACCTATAAACATATTCCTGGAAGAATTTGCCTCTGTCTTTTCTGTGTGATTTATTGCAGCTTATACA